CCGGGGGCCGAGGCGGGGGCGGCCGCCCTGTGCTGGAGGACGCTCCATCGGAGGCCCTGCTCCCAGGTTTCTGGCTCAGGCTGGAGCGCAGCGGGTGGCTCAGAGGCCTGGGGAGCATAGAGGACGTTGGGGTCCCCGTCCTCCCGGCGTTCGGCCAGCTGCGGGTCTGAGTCCAGGGCCCTGCCTGCCTTTGGGATGTCTGGAGCTCAGCACATAGCCTGGGACCACTACAAGCTCAGACTATTGAATAAATCAAAGTCTTTGTCAGATGATAGGATTTAAAACACATGTCAACACACAGCATAAGGAATGCCCACTCAGGATGGCTGCAGGTCCAGGGCTCCCAGCTGTGCCAGGTCTAAACTTTAACCAGTGCCCTGTGGGAGGCCCAGAGGCCCTGAGGGGGTGCTAGGAGGCTAATGTGATGGTGGCATCCTCAGGGTTTGGGATAGTGGTGCTTGCCAACCAGTACGCAATTACGTCAGCACTTTGGGCACAGCTGCCCGGGTACTTGGCTCTACAGCCTCGCTCAGGCCCGAGTGCACCCCAAGGGGCTCAGCACCTGCCTGACCCACCAGGGAAATTCAGGGGCCCAGCCAGCAGCCACCTTCCCAGGCCGCTCCTCCTCCTGCTACACCTCAAAGGAACAGGGCTGAATGCCAAGGAAGAGAAGGCAGACATGGAGGGGCGAGGGACCCCACTCTCAAGATGGGGCCCACCACACCAATCCCCCCTCTTCCAAATCCACACAGGCCATGACCCAAGTTCGTATACATACGGGCACTTGGCTGGTTCCTGGCCCCCGGACCTCTTCCCCCGCGGTGGCACCTGAAACGCAGAGACACACTGAGCAGACAGCCAATGAGCAGGGCGGAGAGGCCTCCCGCCAGCCTGGCCGCAGCGAGCTCCGTGCTCACCGGGGGAGACCGTAGGCCCTGACGTCACCCGGTCGGAGGTCAGACCAGGCCCCTGCCGCTCCCGGAGCCTCAGCCCCTGGGAATGAGCGAGGCCGCCCTAATATCAAGTTGCTGTGGCTGAAGGCAAAAATGGCCACTGTCACCTGCAGCTCCTCCACCCCTTGGGCCTGGCCTGGGCCTGGGACTTGCTTTGGGCAACAGGAAGTGGAATAAGTGACACCGTGCCAACGGCCCAGCCTGCGGGAGGACGAGACGCACGGCTGGGTCGCTCCATTGCGCAGGCGAGGGTCAGACAACGCCGCACCTGTGGGTGAAGCCGCTGGGGGCGAGCCACCCAGAGAGCTGCCCTGCCCAGCTCAGCCCAGACCCCCGACCCGACCCCCCTGCTGAGCGCCCTGCAGAAGCAAGAGCTACAGATATGGCTTGTTTCAACCAAGTTTCGGGATAATTCGCTACACAGCAAACGCTGACTGATACAGGGATGATGCTGACTCTGTGCAGGGCCCTGTGACAGACACCTACATGTACTGTCCCGGTGAATTCCAGAGGCGGCCTGTTATACAAACACTACGACAACCCACACGAGAAAGCCGAGGCTCGGAGAAGCTAAGCCACTCGCTCACACCCAGTCCACTCTGCAGGCGAGTCGCAGAGCCGGGGTTCAAAGTCACCACCACCGACTCCAGAGCCTGCCTGAGGGTCGCTGGAGACCGAAGGCCCTGCACCCCCTGCCTCCTTCCTGGAGAACCCCGATGAGCTCAGGCCTCCCACACGTGGCCATCGCTCAGGGCTGGCCACCGGCCGGCCCACGGTCTCCCCACTCCTGGCAGGTGAAGGCTTAGGAAAGAGCACGTGATGCCACTCAGGCCAACGAGAAAGGAGGAGATTTGCCGGCGCTCTGGCGCAGTTTCCTGCTCGTAAGGAACACACAGGAGCCGTGTCCCCCTCTGCCTGGCCTCTTGGCCTCCTACCCTGGTACAGGTACCTCCCCAGGAGGTGACATGCAGATGACCTCAGGGGCCATCTCCTCCCAAGGGGGGGAACCCACCCAAGGCTGAAAAGGTGGCTCTGAAAGCCGAGGGGAGGGGGTAGCCACTGGGCCACCGATGACCACACTGGGCTGCAGAACCAACCAGCGCTGAGACCGGCCTGACGGCTCAGGTGCAAATCCAAAAGCCAGTGCATATCTTTAACATCCCAGATCCTCAGTCCCAGCTCCCGGGAGGAGCATCCACAGCATCCGGACCGGCCCTCTCCTACCTGAGGCTCCTGGATGACAGCCACGAGGGAGCTGTGGGCCGGGCTGGGGATTTGGTCCCACCATTCCTTCTTAATCCTGAAAAAGGAAAGAAAAACGCGTTGGTCTCTCCTCCCATAAAAATGATCATATGGCCAGTACTTCCTAGGGCTCAGGACCAGGTTGATTGGTTTGGGATGTCTCACCCTAAGCCCATGGAACAGGTCGTACTGCCAACCCCATTCACAGATGAGCACACTGAGGCTCACATGGCTGAAGGGACAGCTGGCAGCAGAAGAGCCGGTTCCTGCCCAGCGTTCTGCTACCCAGAACGGAGCTCCTGACTCGCCGCCTCTGTCCTCAGTGGAACAAGCCCAGGGAAGAAGGAAGGACTCAAGCTGCAGAGGATCCGGGGTGTGCCCATCAGCAGTCCCCTACCAAGCAGCTCAGAGTCAGGCCAGGGGAGGCCTGCGAGGCCTGAGAAGCCGAGGAGACCCTGGGGAAATAGGTTCCTTCCCTCCCCTGGTCGGCCTGGAGCCATGGAGTGTCAGCTCTGAGGGAAGGCCCTCAGATTGGCCCTGGATCAGCCTCCAATGACTCCACTCAGCCAGTCAGCATGCCATACTGAGCACCTACTATGTACTACTCACTGTGCCAGGCCTCGGGGACACAACAGTGAACAAGACAGACAAAAGCCCCACCCTCACGTAGCTGACCTTCTAGAAGAGGAGACAGACAGAAATAACTGTATGACGTTAATTATGGCATCAAGTACCATGAGAGAAAATAAAGAAGATAAAGGAATAGAGAGGAATGGAGGGAGTGATCCAGGAAGGCCTCCCTGAGGAGGTGGCCTCTGAGTGACGACTGAAGGTGGAAGAGGAGCGAGTCATGGCGATGCCAGGGGAAAGGGCTTTCCAGGTCGGGGCACAGCGAGTGCAAAGGCTCGGAGGGAACCTGCCTGGTGCGTTCAAAGAACAGCAAGAAGGCGGGAGTGCTGGGCACAGTGAGTGGGGCTGGGAGGACAGGCGATGGGGAAACTGAGGCGCAGAGAAGGGGAAAGCCCAGCCCACGGAGACTAGGAGGTGTCGGTGACAAGACACGGAGAGAAGAGCTTGCAACCCCTGCACACTTACTGTGTGCCCAGCAGAGTGCGGGACACTTGCCCAGTCAATCCTCGGCCATCACTAATCCTCATATAGCGAGGTAAGACTCATTAGTCCCATTTCAGAGATGGGAGGACTGAGGCTCTGTGACACCCTGTTTCCTAGGGCTCACACTCACTGGAAACTCAGCTCCTTCTACCTAACAGCGCACTGTGATCCAGACTCTCTTAGACTCTTGGGACTGACGAAATACGTTCTCCCTCTCTCTCAGCCTACAAAGGAGGAGCCAGTCACACAGCTACCAGCGCCAGGGCCAGAACCCGAGCCCGGGTCTCCTGACTCTGTCAGGGCAATCGGCTAGAATTCCGCTGTCTATGGTCACCTGCCCCCAACTGTCTGGACCATACCCCGGGCAGGGTCCACCTCCCTTTCCCAAGGGAAGGCCCTTCCCAGCCCCACCCTGGCCAGCTCCTTCCCCCAGTCAGGCCTCAGCTCAAATATCCCCTCCTCCCACCAGACACAGCGCCCGGGACACCTGTGCCTGCGCCCGGTTTGTTTCCCTCAGCGCTTGGGCTGCTGTGGAAAGCGCCGTGGCTACTGCAGACCTGACAGCTGTCTCCCACAGGAGCACAGAGTCCTGCGGGTTTTGTTTCAGCTGTGGCCTCAGTGCCTGCACGCAGTAGCTCCTCAGTAAACATTTATGGTTAAAGGAGGACTGCAAGCTGACAGATGAGCGGAGGGACTCCTGCCCACTCCCACCCAGGGGGCCGGCCCAGGACTCACTTGAGGATGCTGAAGTAGCAGGACAGGCAGACGACCATGATGATGATGCAGGAGATGCCGACGGCAAGTGGAAGGTGCTGCTCCCAGGGCCACTCGTAGTCTGGAGGTGGGAGGGAAGGCGTGAGCCCGCACTGCGCTAAGTACAGCCTGGTCTCCATTTCCCAGGGCTGGAGACCGGAGCTGCAGGACAGTGTGTCCCAGACCCTGCAAGACTGGGCCACCCCCAACCCCCCCTGTCTCAGCCCCGCTCAGTGCCAGCTCAGGATCCTGCACTTGCTGCTCTTCCTGAAGCACAGAGGTCAAGGGCAGTGACTCTGGCCCTGGACGACCTGAGTTCAAAGCCTGGCTCGGTCGTATCCTCACTGGTGGCCCGGGACCGTCCCTCACACTCTCGGTGCCTCGGTTTCCTCACCGGCACAATGGGGTTAACAACAGTGCTCATCTCACGGGGAGCTGTGAGGGTCACGGGACTCACTACCCACCGCACTCAGAGCAGTGCCTGCAGGCCCACAGCTGTTATCACCTTCACACACGGGCTCCTTCTCTTCGTCCTTCACCCTCGCCAGCTCCAAACCCACCCCACCCCCCACACCCTCTCTACCGTTGCCCCTCTCATTACTCCGTCCCCTTTCCCAGAGACCGACTGCCCTCTGGGTCTAGATCGATCTGATTTCCTCTTTTCTGTATGTTTATTTTCTGTCCTCCCGCCCCCGAGTGCCAGTTCTAGAAGGACAGGATTTCTGTCTGTTCTGTTCCCTGAGCTGCTGTATGAACCTGGGAAGGTCCACATGTACGATAATTCATTTTATGTGAGAAAATTCAACATTTCTACTGCAAAAGCCACGTGATAAAGTTGCAAAGAGTTGTTTCGGGGATGCAGCTACAAGTGAGGGCTACATTTCCCAGAATCCCTTGCACCTATGTGTGGCCATGTGGCCAGTTTCACCAATAAAACGTGAAAAGGAGTGATGTGTCACTTCAGGCTAAGGCTTTTTTAAAATATATACATATATATATAT